AATTTCTAATTACCTTCCTTCTACTTTTAATTATTAACACTTTTTGAAATTTGATAAAGTGATATAGTGTAATAAGTACCACGTGGGACACTTGGGACATTGCATAGGACGCATTCGTCGTGAGAAGTAGTGTTACAGTGTCAGACTATTGCAACTTAAAATTAATCTTCAAGCCATTTAAGTCACCTATGAGAAGAGTTTGTGTTACAAAATATTGTATCTACATTTTGGCTTTCGAAGCATGAAAACTGATTACTCTTCCTGAAATATCTACTTTCCTTAGATCTACATATCCCTACGTGCGTGTAACGTCAGACGAGACGTTCTCCTTAGCAACGCTGCATGAAAACACGTTCAATTAGTTTTCATGTTTAATAATCAAACTATATATCTTTAAGGATTTTCTGTTCCCCAATTAAACGCATTGGATGACTAACCATTTATTATAATATTGACTAGTTATGTCTAATCTTTTTTAAGGAAATTAAAATTATTACTTGTTAATTTATCAGTCTAATATTATTATTTTTTTAAGTCTAATAATCTACTTAATACTATTCAAGTTATTTAGATTAAATATTATTTATTTATTGCTTATTTACTTATTAGCTTAATTAATATTCTAAGACGTACATTAAAATTGTTCTGATTTCGAAAAGTCAAAATTATGTTAAAATCCATCAGCATTGTCAAATTAAAAAAGACGCGGCATATATTTATTAATATTTGTTAATCTTGTTCTATTAAAAAAAATTGACACCTATTTTAATTAACTGAAACCGAAGTTGGCCATTTTTCAATTTAAAAAAACCGTTTAGTAACAATTAATATATATAAATTATAATTCTCGTTAAAAACAATCATCATATTCGTGTTCAGCATCTAAAAATTAGTATAAATAAATCCGTCTTATGTAAAAAACTTAAATTATTCTGAATTTCAACCGTTTTAATTATTAGCAGCGTTTGAAATTTGAAATATGAGCGTATGAGGCGCGCTCTTTCAATGCATAACGCGCGTGCGCGCACTCGTCACAAGAAGTAATGGAGTGTTGCAGTTTAGCACAGTGTGGTGTTCATCGTAACTTAAAATAAGTCTTTAAAACATTTATTTCTCCTATGACAAGAATTCGTGTTACAAAATATCTACTGCAACATGTATATTCACTTGAATATATAGTAGTATGTTCTTGAAATTGGGTTAGGTTAGGTTCACGTGATAGCCAAATACTTTTACTGTTTACATAAGAAAATAGTTAATAATTAATATGAATGAAGTTTCGGAAAAGGACTTTAAAAGTTTGTATCCTGCGTTAAAAGATGCAATAAACGATGCGTGTTTCATTGCGATTGACGCTGAATTTACGGGAATCAGTAAGGATGAAGATCTGAAACACAGGTTAGGTTAACTCAACTATTAACGTTCAATCAATCATTTAATATCGACACGTTTTTGTTACAGTTTATTCGACACCCTCGACGAACGTTATCAAAATCTTAAGAAGAACATCGAACAATACAAGATCATACAATTTGGCATTACCCTGTTTCGTCATTCAAAAGAGAACGCCTACAGAGCGGATTGTTACAGCTTCCATTTACTTCAAAAACCGTTGCCATTCAAAAATAGGCAACTCACGTTTCAACTATCGGCTCTAGAGTTCCTCTGTTTGCACAAATTCGACTTTAACAAAGTACGTTATTGATTCGTACTTCATAGACTCAGTTTACTGATTCTACCATTTGGCACATGTTCCAGTTAATAAGCGAGGGTATTTCATGTCTCGACGATGCAGACGAGGAGTTCCTAAGAACTCACATAGAAAATGGCAACTTGATAAACGATTCAGAACTTCTATCGTACGAGGAAAAAGAAGATTTCAAGAATTGTATAAATATGGTTTCGGAGTGGCTTTCGCAGAACCCTGAGCCGGAACCCTTAAAGTTACCGGCTGGGACTCCTATTTTACAATACATGATGCAAAAACAATTGAGGGACAGTATTAAAAACATCTGGACTACATCGGGATATAAAACTGTAAGTTTCTCTCTTCAGTTACTGACAATGAAAGCAAGACTATAGATATATGGTATACAAAAACCAATCCTTTATTTAACACTTCCTCAGGAAGTTTATATAAAAGATATCTTAACTTATAAAGGAAGTTTACTCCTATGGAATCATGCTTCGGAGAAAGTATTGAATAGACATAAACACATCTCCATGCCGTATTCTAAATAAGCGATAACGGCTATGGGAGATGGACCTCTTGAGCATGAGGAATAGGGGCTGTTCCGTTCAGTGTGAATTCGACAGCTTAAGAGTGAACATATTAAACCTTATAACATTCTTTGCATTAAAGTTACTATACCTATTTCCCATTAAAACGAATAAAGACATTGATTTTCTTCTGCTCTCTAGGTGGATGTTTTACGGGTACCAAAGGAAGTGCGAGATCACTTAGAAGAGGAAGATAACAATCGTTTGGAAGATGAATTGTTAGATTCATACATAGGATTCTCGAAAGTATTTAAACTCTTGTCAGCCTGTAAAAAACCGTTCATAGGACACAACATGCTGTTAGACTTGATGTTCATTCATCAACAGTTCTACAAGCCTCTTCCAGGTATTAAACGAATCTAATCGCTCTATAAGGATGTTAAAAATCATGATAATCATTCCAGATTCGTATAAACAGTTTAAAAGCAATGTACACGCGTTGTTTCCACGGCTGTACGACACAAAGTACATAAGTTTTCAATTTAAAAAACTGTTCAGGAGAGACGAAGGTAATAAACATCGATGGAGAGCCATGAGACAAAGCTCTGTGTAAATGTATCAACGTATTTTTCTTTCAAGTCTACTGGAAACTTAATTCGCTGAGGGCTTTGTATGAGTATTTTAAGTCGAGCGGTGTACAATTGTCGTTCAACTGTCCGTCGATCAGATCAGATAAAAATTTATCAGGTAACAATCATCGATCGCTGTTGTTGTTTCTCCGAGTCTTTACTTCGAACGGTATTTCAGGTACGGAGACTTATCATAATGCTGGGTTTGATTCTTACTGCGCGGGGTACATATTTATAAAAATGGCACACGTGTTCTGCGTTAAGAAATTCGGATCGTAAGTTTTATATAAGAAATTACTATAGAGATGAGATTTATCAATAATTATATTATTGATTTATTTTCAGTGGAATAGAATGCAAACCTGTCACCAATACTGAGCTGATGAGCGCCGTGAAGCATTTGGAAAATTGTGTAAATATATCGAGGGGCAACGAAATGTACATGGTAAGCAGAATGATTTTTATTTTATTAATAGTTATTAATAGCTTCCAGTTTTCCAATAGGGACGGGTCGATGTTGACAGTCTGTGGTGGTCGGGTTCTGGCGGCGTCTGTCAAATCCGTTGCTCGTAATTCAGTCAGTAATGCCAAATCAAGTTACACGATTGAGCAGCACGTGCAAATTATTATCAAAATGAGTGTTTGTCAGTGCAAACGTTGCGCGCACTGCGCCCATTTACGGCAGACGCAGTGACCCTTTAAGGATGTTAGTCCCGCTCAGTTGGTCTCAATCATTTCAACTGATGCTACGTAGTGGTACACATATTAAATAGAAACAAATGGTTGAGAATCTTTGGTCCTCTAATACATCGCACAGCGTATACATACGCACTTACACAAGCTTACACAGAAGAGCCGTTGCCGCTACTGGCTACACTATCCCCTCCCTCGCCGTTCTCAAGAACGCGTTGTACAAAAATACCATACTTCATCTCAGAATTTCTACTAAACGAATCATCAAAATTTTCTGATTTTTTTTTTAATACAATTGTAATAAGTTAATTTAGCATGTGTCAGTTTTTTGAAAATATCTATAGAACCGTTTTTCCTTAAATTACTGAAATCCATCATTTTACTGGCCTTTTCTCGTTTTCACATGGTAAAGTTCCGAATTCGATAATTTATTGCTACTCTCCCAATCATTAGATCTCTCTAAGATTTTACACATATATTTGTGATGCTCTATTGAATACTCATGCAAAATTTCAAAACATTCTATAGAAAATGGATTTTGGGACTTAGCACTGCCAAGCACAATTTAGGCTAATGTTAGCGTAAAGTTGACGAAATTTCACAAGCAGTTTGACTAAGTAAACAAATTTTTATTTATAATTAACAAAATTTTATTCCGGAGAATCAGATTCATTATCTGAAGTATCTAAATTACTATCACTTTCCTCATTGTAAATGCAATCCTCTGATGTTTCGGATTAAGAATCTAGAAAATAAATATAAATTCTGTACATTATGAAAGGCAATAGACTTTGATAATACATAAATTGCATACCTGTATCTTCCAGTGGTGATTGATTAACATCATTAATCAATTGTGGTAATTGATCTCCTTTAAACCAATCAAACTCGTATGAATTATTAATCTTTTTCCATCCATAATCGATGGGAGACAATTCAGTAGGAATTTTGCAATATGCATTCCGCCAAATCTTTGTAATGTAGTACGCCCTCAAAAATTGTTCCATTAATTCTGATTTGCACGGCGGCAAACTTGACGAATCAACGTTTCTAATTTTAATTTGAAATGAGTCATTGACGTCATGTGTACATTTTTAAGTTTTTGAAAACATGACGAATCGTGCTTCGTTAACGGATTTGAACTTTTTCAAACCGTATAAACAACAAACTGTTGGATTTTTTTAAACACTGTACTTCTGTTGTTGCTTATATCTTTGAGATCGGTGAATACTTTTTGAAATTCAGTCGATTGATGATAATATACAGAATTTATATTTATTTTATTTATTTATAAAAGAGCCACTTTTGCTCATGCCTGATGTAAACGATTTCTTGTGAGGTTTCATGAAGTCACAGATCTATGCCAATAAGCCATAATCGATCGATGCCCCCAAAATCAACATTACTCAGGTCATCGCTCAAATTCAGTCGGATCTATGCGGCAGAGTCATTGAAAATCGGATTTCTCGGATTCATGCCACCGTGCGAAGCCTTAGCGACGAATAATTCCATACATAATTGCATACATGGGGCCTTTCATATAAAAAAAATTTCGTTAATACCTCAGACACAGCTTGTTTTATTCCATTTCAACATCGATCCGCCCTCATTGGCGGTAATATTTAAAAAAAAAAACATAAATTCAGTAATGCTGACTGTTAAAATTACAGAGATTCGGCGGGAACGATCCGAGCTTATCGAGACCGGAATGGCTACACGTGAAATTAAAATCCCCATCGATAGACAGAAACGAGGTTTGCACCTAAATGTTTCCTTAAACGTAAAACTTCATCCCTTCTAACTGGCGATTATTTTTTTTTAGTTAATTAAGAGTTTCTCGATCTTCAGTCAAGTCGACGTGATGCCTTTCGCCAGGAAACGTTTTCTAGTAGCTGTCCCAAATCACGGAAGGTGAGCGGAATTCTTAGCCGTATAAAACGAGCTACGGTCGACCTGTGATGCAATAAAGATGAAAGTGTTCGCTCTGCTCGTTCCTCATCCTTGATTCTTAATAATAAAATAATGCATCCGATGCGTTTAAGCAATCAACTCGTTTAACGCGAAACGAATTTAAACCGTGTCGTCGTCCAGCAGAAACATGCCCGCGGCCTGTCAAGCTGACGCGAGCCAGGCCTCGCAGAAGCTCGTAGCGTTTTACGTTTCGCTTATGACGCTATCCGGGTTGTAAAAACAATTGCGCTAGATTAAAGGGGAAACCGACGAACGGACACGGTGGATTTGCGCGGAACGTCGCGATTTCTCTCTCTCTCTCTCTCTCTGGGACGTAGCACGGAACGTTCCCGTTTTCTTGTTTTATTTTCCACGTTACGTTTTGCCTCACGCATCGACCAAATATAATTAGGTATTAAGTACGCAGTTGGTATTTTAGTATGAAGCTGGTTCGAAGTAAGGTGCCGGAACTATTTTGGATCTTATCCAAGGGCAACCGCGTATACTCATCGTTGCGCTCGCGAAGTGTGATATCGATGCACGTGATTTTATATGACGTAACCGGATTTTCGTTTTGCCAAAATTCGTCCTACTTACCTTCCACCCCTGATATTTTAACTAACCATTGTCCCGTCCGTCTGTCTCCCCCCTGCCTCGACAAAAAAAGAAATAGTAATCGAACAGAGCTGGTTTCAGAGTACGAGACGTGTGTTTTAAGTCCATAGCAAATCCATGATGTAAAAACATAAGGTGTGTTCTTCCGGCGTGTTCAAATGTGTCGCTGTTTGCGCCTTCCACTCATCGGCCATATTGGAACTACGATGACCTATTGTTTAGTTCAAACTTGCGTAACAAAAATATATATTATACTCGGAGAACCTAATTTTTTACACGTTAACGATTTTTAAATTTACTCTGTTTTAATATGAAGTGTGATTGGTTAGATATCCAAAATGGCCAACGAGTGGAAGTGTCCGTGAACAGATGGATGTTCAAATGGATGCGCAAGAACACACGTTATGTTTTTACACCATGGCAAATCAACGGTGATACGACAGTTACCAGAAAACAGATAGGTTGTACGGTTGTCAGTAGAGCATCAAGAGAACTATAAATAACCGGAAAAGAGGTGGACGACCTCAGATTCCTTGAAGTACAGGCGTAGTTAAGAGCATAATAATCGCACATGCGATTCCTTAATTCGAAGAACTCTCAGAAACAACAACTAAGGCGTTCGACCAGTTGAAGTCGTAATCGTCCACGGATCGGTTGACTCCATCGCGACCGAATTAGATGGAAATGAATTATCCAATGTGCCGCTATCAAGTGTGCGTTTTCACGATCCTCGATGCATTTTCTTTCACGCTGTTAAAGCGTCCGACACAATTCACTTCGCACGCAGCACGCGTCCATATATTATAAGCGTCAGATTTCCCCCGTCTCTGGCATTGTTCCAACAGTTTTCGTACGCCCGTGTATCGTTTCTACAAACTGAATCCTTTGTATCGAATTCTATACAGAATTGTCCGAGTTAAATGAACCAGCGACGGTTCACTCGTCGGGCTTTCTTAATTGTCAAACGAAGAAACGGGTAACAAGTGGAAAATGGTCGCAACGAGGAGAGAATTGAATCAGCGAATACTAGTTTGTTAATTTTATTAATTATTAGCGTTGTAACACGGCGTGCAGGTCGTCGGGTTGCACAAGGTTGATCGATACGAAATTATTTTTATCCATGTATATTATTAATGCGTTGTGAAGCTTGAAAAAATTCTGTTGCAGCGCTCTGTCCATATTGCAGCACTTTAAGGACAGCAAAGAATTCCAAGTGGTTAGGTACAGTCGCATATGGCACGCCACGCCTATCACTATCTGCTTATGGTACGTTAACGAAAATTAAAAATCGTTAAACAGATTGGACTGTCGATGAAAGCACCTAAGCTCGATTGTTTCCTTATAAGTAGCTCCGTGGTTGACAGCCATTTTCGTTTGCATTAATTCGTCGGATTTGAGTTTGCACGAGGCTACGTCAAACGAATTAATTAATCCTCCACAGGCCTGTGCTTAGCTCGCACAATCTCTAATTAGCACAAAGATTGCCGTAGATGCATAAGTGGCCATCGCGTTGCCAATTGTTGCGAAGCTGCCTCCCCTATTCCCACCGTTACTCAACGCTGAAATGGTCAAATCGTCGGATTCGACTGTTCCTTCGAATCGTTTCGAAATAACTGTTACATAATTAACTCGTTGCTCGGTGAATTTAAGTGAAGCCCCACTGTCAACGTGTGTGACTCGTCTAGCTGTTCTAAGACCTTTACATGTTAGGTGATTAATTTATTTTAATTACAGGAGCGGAGTAGTCCTGTCTGGAGGTATGGCCTGGATGATAAAACAAATGTTTCTAAAAGCTTCAGTACCTGACTCTTAGTTAATAGTATTCATAATTGCATCCATCCATTAAGCACACTCGTGATCGACGGCAGGGACTTCTGACTTGCAATCACGAATAATAATAGCAATACATAGGCATAAACGAATGTACAGATTGTGATAACTATAGAAATATTTGTTATAATAAAGTACGACGCTTGTTTCTACAAAAGTTCGAAAGTGTTTCCTAACAGAGTGTGTGAAGTGGAATAAGGAGTGAGTTTGGTACGAATGAGTCACACTAGGGGACTCGTAGGGAACGGCGAGGTAAGATAAACAATTGTGTGGAATTAGGCAAGGCGGTAGTCACAGAGGATCTATTTAAACGTCAGATCGAATGGAATCTTTGCGCGAGCTGTTATTATTATTTCTCGTTCTGGTTTGCCGACGATTCTCGCCGTGAAACCGTCGTGCCAAACCTCTGTACACCCAGCGGGAAATCCAATTATCCCTGGCGACGACGATCCATCGGTCGTCACGCAAATTCGTCTACCCTGCGTACACGTGCGACGCGCCTACGTAATGGCTACCCTACGTCGAACGCATCACGATTGCCCGGTTGCCAAATAACGCGAGACGCTGACGGTGACGATCGCGGAAAGCGTTGAACGTTTCTTGGAAACTTCCTCACATCACGTTTCTTAATTGAGCAGCGAAAGAACGAATAATAAGTAGAATGATCCTCCAGGGAGGAAGTCAGTTTCCATAACGCCTCTCAAAAATTATGTTATCAATTGTTTCGTCGATTTTTTAATAATAATAACAATAA